AGAGAGACAGAGAGTGGGAGAACGATGGGGGGGGCGGGAATGAGGGAGAGAGAGAGACAGAAAGGGAAAGAGAAGAGAGAAAGAAAAAGACTAATGAAGAAACACCCAAACTAAATAGTGGAAGGTTGCCAGGGGCTCCAGTTACAAGGAAATCACCATCTCCTGGCCACGCCTACTCTCTGGAGCCACCCCTGCCTTGGGCAGTGCCCCTCCCCATCCTGAAGCAGGACCCTCAGCCCCTCAACCCCAGCCTGGCACCTTCGGCCGGCAGCAGCTTGTCCCACACTACCTCCTGGGAGATCTTGGTTCCTGACTGACTGACCTCTGAACCGTGGGAGGCTGGGCTTGGCTCACTCAGCCAATCCCCGAACGCAGGGCTGCTTCCTCCCCCTGGCCGTTGGCCGAAACTTGAAGCCAGAGCCAACTGGGTCCAAAGAGGAAACAGTTCAAAGTCGCACAGTGTGGGCACGGGATCCTCAGGACTCAGCACCTCAGATGTGGGGTGAGGGCAAGTTGAGGGTAGGCAAAGGTGACTCTGAGTCCCCAAGTTTACTGCCTCCCTTTGCCTTGTGGACAGACAAGGGGCCACATGTTAAACCTGACAAGCTCTGGAACTAAAATAAACCACAGAGGATGGTGTGAACATAAAAATTTCTAAGGCGGCCCATGGCCATGGCAGGAAGTCACATCTCTATAGCTTCCTCATTAAATTAATCTATGCCTTTTCAGTGGACCTGTTCTTTGTCTTTTTGTACCTAAGATAACATCTTTTTCCGGACCAGAGCTGGAAACTGCAAAATTCCTCATTATCATGCTTGTCTCCTGATTACCATCTCTATGTGCTGTAAAGAGTGAACTGTTAGCTATCCTGCACCCACCTGTGTGGGAGGAATACCTGTCTCTCCAATGTACTTTTATCCAATCCCAGAGCTTTCCCCGCTTTGCTTTCTTCCACCCTCTTAATCTATCACCAGTGGGTTTCATGTAACCTTCCTCCTTTGAGTATATGTATAAAATAAACTGTAAAACTGCCATTTTGCAGAGCATTTTCTCAATCCATTCAGATTTTGCTTCCCTGCAATTGTCGACAGTTTGGCTCAAATAAACTCTTATAAGTTTTCTCTTAGGCTGGATATTTTTTGTCAACAGGCTCCCAAGGCCAGAGTGTAGCAGGTAAAATCTTGAAATTGATTGTTTAGTTGCCAGCTGAGCCTCGTCCCAAACATCTCACAGGCTCCTCTCAACACTGGTCCCCAGAATCAGCTCAGAATTATGCATCTGAAACTCAAGAGACAAAAAGCCCCTGGCCTTTGGGGCACACAGTATGGCAGGAGTTCAAATCCTGCTTCCAGGCCACCCAGGGCCTGGGCTGAGATCTGCCTGCTGGGAACAGGACCAAACAAACAAGCCTGGCTAGGCATTCCCTCATCAGATTCAGGGGAGGAAGGGCCTAGTGGGAAGAGGGCACCTAGAGGTGAGCGGGTAAGTCTGAGGAGTCCAGACAGGGGAGGGCAGAGCTAGGAGGCCCTGAGTGAGCTCTGCCTCACCCTCGCTCTGACTATTGGCTGTGCCAGTCCCCGTCGGGCTGTCTTCCAATCTGGAACATGGGATGTTGAATGAAGGCCTGAGAAGGGGCAGAGCTTATCCAGTTCCTGTCCCAAATTTTCCTGAGGGGGGGGTCTCAGCCCCTATGAGGTCTCTGCATGGTCAGGCTCCAAGATGAGCGTGACTTTGAAAGGTGGAGCTGCTGAGTGAAAGGATTGGGACACTTGTCTCCTGCAACTAATAGAATGTTGAAGAAATGCCCAAACTCCCAGCCCTCATTCCTTCGAGTTCTACACGATCCAGCTTCAGGTGGCTGTTCCTGGTGCCCTTGGCAAGTTGGGGTGCACTGCCTTAGATCCTCCTCCTCCTATGCTGGACAGTTCCACCCGGAGAAGAGCCAGGGGCAGGGCCAGGGAAGGTGTGAGGTAGCAGGGCTGGCTACATAGGCCTGGGGAGTAGTAGGAGAAAAAAAGAAGAAACAAAGGTCCAGAGAAGTGCAGTAACTTGCACGAGATCCACAGCAAAGCCTTCAACATGACAGCACAGGAGAAAGCGAATCCTGGCACATAGTGGGTGCTCGTTAACTATTTAGGGAAGAAAGGGACATTGTAGCCATGAGCTCTAAGAATTGGCCACTCAATTGTGGCCCTTAGACCAGCAGCCTGGACATCACATGCAGTGTCTTGGAAATGGAGAATCTTAGACTCTAATCCAGATCCACCAAGGGGATAACTGCAAAATTTTTGCCATTGTCCCCAATAAGAGGAGGAGTTTATGTTCCTTCTCCTTGAATCTGAAGTGGCCTGGGGCTGCTTAACCAATCGTATGTGGTGCAGGCGGTGTCATGTCAATGATGGCCTTGAAGAGGGCCGACAGCTTATACCCCTCAGAACCCAGTCACCATGCTGTAAGGAAGCCCAGGCCACATGGAAAGTCCTCATTTGTTTAAATTCTGATCAACAGCCTCAGCTGATTTCCCTGCCAACAGCCAGTGTCAACTGCCAGCTATATGAGGGAGCCATTTGGGTGGTCCATGCCAGTTGAGCCTCTAAATGACTGCTGCGGGGCGGGGGACAGGGGGCATTACATGGTGCAGAAGAGCCATCCAGCTGAACCCAGTCGACATGCAGGATCATAAGAGAAAATAAAAGGGTCATTGTTTGAAGCCACTAAGTTTGGGGGCTCTGTGTTATGCGGTGATAGCTCATCAATACATCTACTGTTTCTCTCTCTCTGTCTCTCTCTCTCTTTATTGGGTGATGACTGTTCACAAAAACTAACCTGACCACCGAAAGCCACAGAAGGGAGACTTGGAGAAGGGACCTTTGGGAAGTGTGGTGTCATACAAAGAAGTCATTTGTCCCCTCTCCTCCCCAAGTATGCATATATATATATATATATATATATATGGTTGTCAGAAAAGTCATGACGCATGTTCACGACAGATGGCACTAATTCATTTTTTAAAGTACTAGAGTCATTCACATCTATGTTATTGCTATGTCATTTGACAGCTGACAGTTCTAGCTTCATTTTTTTTTAATTGAGCAATTTGGTTGAGTTTTGGAGATTTTACAACAAGTTGAAGATGGAAGAC